ATCAGATCGTGTCAAGTCAATGAGAGTAGGGCGAGAGACAAAAGGAATGGCCACGTTACGTAAGATACGACCTTGTTCTCAAACAATGAATTCTGCCGTCAAGGAGACTCTTATAAGGCCCCGAGGCCCTTGCGAACATATGCTGGGCGTGCTTCTCTCACTCCACTCTCTCCATTTACGTTCTTTCACGACCGACTTGTGCTGGCGCATCTACAACCCACTGTCTCAATTTTGCTGTAACAGTCCACTTTTGTAACATACGAGATGCTTCCTGCTCGCGGATGTGGGTCAAATGACGCTCCAGCGGCAACGGAAGAGACTCACTGACGACGTGTGCCAGATGCTTTCATCGGTCTCAACACCCTGCGCTTCTCTCCATCGTCACGTTACTCCTCGTGTTCGCCAGCAATGTCGTCACCCTAGTGCACGATCTCCAGGCTTTCAACCAGTTCCAAGCTGGTAAAAGCGTTTCTCAGATCGGATTTAACGCCACTGTTGAGGGTATCCTGGATGGCGACTACATCCCGTCCGTCGATTCTTCTGTCTGGCTCCGAGCATCATCCTAAAGCACTTGGCAGATCTAGCTCTATTCCCAATCAGCCTGCCGGTGTGTTCTGGGCGGTGCTCAATCGCCTGCTCATCGTCGCGCAAGTCACATTCTGTTGTTCTCCGAATTTGGATGGCCTTCGGCGCTCTTCAATCGATACTTCCCGGTTATGGGAAAGAGTTTTGGGCTCGGGCCGTTGGGGGTTATGCAATGCCTGTAAGTTGGCAGCTGGCTCTGGTTGGAGGTACTGAAACTAATCGTGACAAGTCTCGGTGCAGCAATCTTGTCGCATCGTGTCGACCAGTTTTCTCTCGTTTCTGCGTTTTTCATGTTCTCGATCGGCTGTCTCAATATCTTCTTTGGCCTGGTGTTTCGTGAATCGGCCAGGGCAAGCGGTCTTTCACGTCGTGGCGTGAACATACCAAGGATGCGTTGCCGACCCATGTCGCCGGTATCGACATTCGCCCGGGAGCTCCGTTAACTCCTTCATTCGCGTCAAATTCGGCCAAGAGTGACGAGAAAGGGGACCATGCGAGAATGGGATATGGATTCGGGGGTAAGGGTGATAGATTCGCTGGCTCGAAAGGCGTGTTTTCCATTCGAGTGTCTGTTTAGAATGCTTAACATTCCGCCTCTACAGGTTTGCTCATTACCAAACCCGTCGAGTCGTTGCCCCGCTACGCGCCTACTCGCCCTTCAAGCCAGCGTTGATCTGGTGAACGATAATATCTCTTATCTAATCTACATGTCAAATCCTATCGATCTTAACTGTACTGCTTCGTCGAATTCTGATCATGGTCCTAAGGACTTATCTAGCGCCTCCTCGCGACACTCCCTGCCGCAGAAGTAATCCGTCTCGCTTTGCGGAAGGGCGAGACACATGATGCACGGGGAGACCAGTCCTGATGACACTGCTTCCCTGTGAATCATGAGATGAGCCCGGCCACTGAAACTGGACGCACTCTCGATGTTTCTTGGAGCAAAAGTCGCTCATGGCCCCTGATGCGTCGACGTGTACAGGCAGCCCGCAGCCGGGAATCAGGCAGGCCGGCGGCTGAACCGGTGGGTGAGCTTGTGCAGCAGCAGCAGCCGGCACCCCGGGAACGGGCGCCGGCGCCGAGGCTATGTTGTTATTGGCAGCGTGGACGCCTGCGTGAACGAGAGTCGTGGCGGCCTGTTCAACGTGTTCAGGAAGGGGTTGTTCTTTGGCGCACCGGCAGCACCAGCCGGTGCTGGTGCGGTCTGCGGAGCGACAGATGCAATGAAGCTTTGAACTTGGGGGATGTGCTGGGCGACCAGTTCTGCGAGGATGTCCACGAATCAGGCAGACGCATGGCGCGGACAAGAAGAGACAAACTCGCGATCTGCAGTGGGTCGATGGTTGTTTGGGCCCCCACGACTGGAGCCTTGGCTTGCACATTCTTCTTGGTGGTGACCGGAAGGGGACCCGGATTGGCGGCTGCGGCTGCAGCTGCGCAGTTCTTGCCGCAATACTCAAATCCTTGGAACTTGGGCTTCTTTCCGCAGAAGCTGCATAGAGTGCCGATCTGAGCAGCGCAGGTCTTGGAGCAGTAAGAGTGCGTTCCGTGTTTCGGTTTCTGAGGCTGTCAAACACAAAGTCGAGCGGATGGAACCACAGAGACGGACCTGGTGACAATACTGGACGCAACAAGCGCATGAGGAACCAGCGCATCAACACAAGTAGGGCATTTCACTCACGTCGCATAGTTGGGGGTTTACAGCAGCAGCAGCAGTAGCCATTAGGAGGTGAAATGATATCTGGCCAGATACATAGCGGTTTAAAGGTTAACATACAAGTAACATACGGACTCCATGTGTTCTGACACGTGTTTGCAAACAGACTGCCTGCTCGTGTATCAGGGCAGGCTCACAGCCCGGAGCTTGGTCCTGAGACGTTCCAGGGCCTTGCCCAGTTCATTTCTGCCCCGCCGATCAGCACCGACTCCCCAAAAAGAGTCCTTGTCTGAGTCCTGGCCGCACGTTCGTTCAAGCGTAGAAAAACTCGGATCAAAGCTTACCTCGACCAGTTCTGCGTCTCCTGTCGCCAACAATTCCTGCTTCAGGTCCTCATGCTGAGTAAACTTGTGCCAGATCGCGATATCCATCTGCATCGCAGTCAGTCAAGATCAGGACAGAAAGAGGAGGGGAAAAGACGTGCCATCTGGATGTTCACGTCTTTCCAGTCAGAGCGCACTTCGGGCTGGAATCGACGCGCTTCGGAGAAAGCCACACTTGGTCTTTCGGAACATGTTCGGATATGTTCTGCAAGCTTGGGGCGATGAGGTCGGAACTCGAGAAGGAGTCGGTTCATGGCTCCACTACCACAGCATACATGACGTTTACTCACCTTGAACGACTGGAAGAGGTGCTCGCTTGTGGGATATCGTTTGCCGTCGTGAAGTACCGAATGAGCCGAGAAGTTCGTGAACCCATAGTGAGGGTCCTTCTTGTCGTAGAACAGAATTCGACTGCGAGTGGGCGTGCGAGGCGAATGCCTCTTGGGTGACCCAGCGGGCGGGCTCATTGGGATGCGGAGAGCGACAGCCTTGGAGTCTCGGTCTCTGCGGCGAAGTGCGAAGGTGCTCCCTCGATGAGGATTGACGGGTTCGATGAAAGGCGATGTTTCGCGAGCGATGGGGCTCATCGGCGTATCAATGATCGGCAAGGGTCTTGGGTCGACTTTGGGCGGCGAGAAGACGATCTGCCTGTCGGCCAGAGAATGTGTGAGTCTAATTCGAATTTCTCTATTCCCAGCGTACGAATTGTCGTTGCTGAGGTCAAGAAGGTTGTTCAATTGTGACGTGTCCCACTCGGATGGAGCGACATCCGTGGAAATGTAGACCGATCGGCGCTGCTCGATACGGTAGTGCATAGTGCCGCTGGACACAGTGCTCGATGGAGACGTCGTGTCCCGATCTGAAGATTGCTCGGGCAGCGACTCGACGGGAGAAACGATCGTGGTAGAGGAAGGTGTACGGGTGACGATGACGGGCGAAGGCTCGAGGGTTTGCTGCATGTTCATAGAGAGATAATTAGCGTTCAGTGCGCAGCTGCTCTTTGAATAGCTTGCAGAGTGACTCATCCACACGTGTGGACCTCGAGCAGTAGCAGTCCATCATCGGGACGAGAAAGCAAGCACGATTGTCACGCTGTGACAGAACGCGCCTTGCTTCCTCCGCACCACTTTCCCTTTGTTCAGCTATCCCGCGTTTCAGAGATGCCCTGTCAACCCGAAGTCTGAGGGAGGCTGGCCGGACCAAATACACGTGTTTCTCGTGTGAATGCCTAGTCTAGACGCCAACCGGCCACACTCGTTTCCGCCATGCGAATGCCGAGCTTAAAGTCCCAATATCATGCGCCCACATTGGTTGCACACACTTATTGACCGGTTTGAACCCAATGATATCCCGTCTCGCAAGTTTCAAGCGCAAGACTAGGCGGGCACCGAAGAAGAAGACCACCCGTTTGCTTGCACTCAGTCCGCAAGATATGGTCTATCAACAACGTGTGTGAACTCAGCTTCCTTTCTTGAAATGCATCTCCAGCTTTGACCTCAGTGGACAAGCACTTTCGCGAGTCGTGGATCCACCCCGGGAAGCCCAAGCCCCAAGTTCACGCCATCTTCGAGATCGTATTAACGGAGGAGAGCTTGATGTCGTATCTGCGCTACCGGTGAACGAGCCGCTTGCTTCATTCCCGCTTCTTCTCGACGCTTAATCTCCTTCAGAGCGCTAGTTGAGCTATCTCATGTAGCCAGGCATGCCAACGAGCAGCTGTTGTTCCATGGAACGGCACGGAGCTGTCTGCTAGGCGACCAGCGCGCCAAAGCTCAATTGTGCGAATTGGACGCATGTCTCCTGTGTTCGGTGCTGAGAGATTCGTTTGACACATCTCAATGTGGTGCACAGCTTTCCTTCTATCTGAGTGATAGTGTGCTGAGAAAACGAACAGGCAAGCGACACAAGTTCCGCAGGTAATAGACTCACTACAGATTATTGACCCCCCCTGATTGAGCTTCAGATTTGGATCCGGGATATACACTACGTCTTGTTCATCCAGTCAGCCGATCCTTTACTGCGCTGGTTGTGAAGACTGAAAGCAAGCTGTAGAAGCAGATGACTACTTCACCGGTGTTGCTGAATCCCCTTTTCGCGTGTTGTTAGTGAACAGAGTGGTCGTGGGCAACGCTCTGATGCGGCACTACAATGCGGTGGACCTTGTCGAGCCTCCTTCTGGGTATCACTCCGTGAGTGTCATCTCCATCGATCGCAGACTCGTTTCCCACTTTGATGTACAGATTGTCGGCGAACCTGGCGGAGATCTCAACTATGCCGAAACTGTGGTGTACACCAACGATGCCATCCGACCTGCATATTTGATGGTTTATGCTGCTGCTGACTATCATCAGGAAGTGGCTGTCGCTGATCTCAGCTCGATTTTGTCTACATTGTTCAACACGCCTGTCATTGCTAGATGACGAATTGACACAGTCCATGGTTCACCAGACTGAATGCGTGCCAACTCGCTCGTCTTCTCCTAGCTTTAAGATGTGGCGATCGCTGTGCACGTCAGCAGTATCGACAAGTTTGCGAATAACTGGAAGATGCTTAGATGCGATGCCCAGTTCTGCGCATTCGCTTCGAGACGGCTGACTGCTCTTACACCTGCTTCACAAAAAAACATTTGTAAAGACGACTATTCCGATGCTTGGTCGCGATATTTCGCCAGAATGAATGCCAGTCTTCAAGGCCTCCACTAAAACCAGGCTCCGGAAAAACTATCTGCCAAGAGCCCCGATTACAGCCGCGCAGATCCTCTGCTTAGAATGGTCAACGGCTCAACGCCATGGTAGCTGTGTCCAGTTTTCTGTCGGCTAAGACGAGGGTCGCATCACCCGCATTTGAATCCTTCGCCCAGCGGTGATGATGCGATAACCGCAGCACTGAGCCCATGGGCGACGGCAAGCACTCCGTGGATCTCGAAGCTGATCTCTCAAGGGCTGTATTCCGATTGCCCCCCGAAGGACACCTCCGCGAATCCAGGAACGGCCTTCGCTAGCCGTCGTGTGGTCGCACTGCCTTCACTCAATCCCCGATATTCCATCTGGTCTATTGAGACATGTGGCCGAAGAGTTTCGAGAACGATCTCAATTGAAACTGTTCAGGAAGGTCGGACGACGCTGAGGTAAATGCTCAGCTGAGAGGACTGAACTCGAGGATTCTGGGCTGCCTAGTAATATAAATGGATACGTTCGGCGTGTAACAGCGTGAATGACCGATTGAAGACGTGTTCGATGGACTCGGGATCGATCCAGACTTGACCCTTGTTTTGCACTCGCAGCTCGGTCCAAGAAATCCACCTCGCGGTCAGCGGCAGCGCTCGGAGGAAGGCCTCC